AAATGTTCCACATATGGTGTAACTTTGACAAAAGGTATAACTTGTTTTACAAAAGATGTAAGTATTATGTGTAAGTTGTCAAAAGTTACGCCTTTGGTGAGCAATTTTACAAAAGTTGTAAGTTGTCAAAAAAGTGTAAGTACTTTCACAAAAAAGTGTAAGTTCTTACAAAAGGTGTAAGTTCTCATAAAATGTGTAAGTTTTCATAAAAGACGTAAGTTTTTACAAAGGGTGTAAATTTTCAAAAATCACTTACGCCTTTTTCTGAAATTACTTACGCCTTTTGTTAAAATTTACGCCTTCTGTGAAAATTTACAAATTTTGTGAAATTATTTATACCTTTTGTGACAAAATTACACTTTTAGTCATGTAATATATATTCTTTTATTCATTTACCTGGAAGTGACCTGCTTTAGCAGGTCACCAATGTGTTAGTTTTCAAATATTTTTGTATAACTCAATACTCAAAAAGGTGTAAAGGTAAAATAGAAAGGTGTAAGTGCCTTGCATATCATATGCAAGGCACACATAAGAAAAGTCCATTTAATAATCATGTTCCAATAAGATTGTGATAAAATGTGTGTGTGTGTTTTATTTTATTTTATTTTAGTTTTTGAGTTTTTGTTTGTGTGCTACTTACATATAATATTTCTGAAAAATTTTGATGATACGTCCACTTTTATGAATGTATGATATTAGATTCAATGATTAATTTGTTTGGATTATACCAACATGGTTAATGAAATATATTAGCGAGAATAACAAATTAATTTTAAAGGAATTCGCAACAAAAGTTACCAAGTGCAAAAAAGTTACTGAAAAAGTCAATGAGAAATTGGTTGGGGACAGAAAAGTCACCGGCAACTGGCGACCAATGACAAACGTGTAGAAGTAGTATTATTTTCTAAATTGTTGTGTTTTGGTATGAAATTGTTTTGTTCTCAAAATATATTTATTGATGACATTCTTAAAATTTTATCACTGAAGTTTCTTTTTGTTTTTTAGTGACAACTATTGTGATAATGATAATAGGAATTGATCTCTTAATATTTTTTTTGTAACAAAATTTTCATTCTTAAAAATAAAATTGAAAAACTTGGATAAATTATGTAAATGGTTCATATAGTTTACACGATGTGTCAATTTGGTTCATATTATTTTGATTTGCCTGATTTTGTCCCTTAATTTAATAGATTGTGTCATATTGGTCTAATGAATAACGGTAATTAAGTTTGGTGGATGGAAGTCGTCACGTGCTCAAACGATGTGTTAATTTGGTCCTTATAATTTACACGATATGTCAATTTGGTCCCTATTATTTTAATTTGCTCAATTTTGACAGAAATCAAATTGACGCATCGTGTAAACTAAATGATCAAATTGACACATCGTTTAAGTTTCCGTCCACCAAACTTACCGGTTGTTATTTATTGACCAATATGACACAATCTGTTAAATTAAGGGGCAAAATCGAACAAATAAAAATAATAGAGACTAAATTGACACATTGTATAAACTATAGGGATTATTAACAAAGTTTACCTAAAGAAAACTTTCAATTCCTAAAACACGTATATATTGTATTAGATCCTATAAAATATGTAAATCACTCCTTGCTTGTCGAATACTAGTGTATGTCTGAAGGTACGATGTGAATAAAAATAAGTAAACAAAAAGAAGAAAATAAAAAAAATAAACAAATAGAGAAAAAAATAAAAATGGGAAAAAATAAAAAATAAAAAGAAAAAAAAAGAAGGTGGGATCATGGGATCATAGAAGGAAGGGTGAGAAAAAAAAAGTAAGAGAGAGAAGCGAGAAAATAAAAAATGTACATGTCGAATATTTTTTGAAAAATACATCATAGCCATTATTTTATAGTTTGAACAGATCTAAACCGTGTAAATATCTTAATAGGACAAAAATATATTAAAATTTTAAAACCCCCCCCCGATAATTAATTTTGCATAGATCCAGGGCACGTAATGACACTACATTTTTTAATATGAAGCACAAAGCATGTGGGAAGATATTATATGCCCTTCTCTTCTTTTTCAAATACTCTATGATTGAATTTCCTTTGATGTAATAGCTACTCTTTGTTTCTGAATTTCCTCCGAAAAAAAAAAAAAAAAAACTCTATGATTAACTAGTTGGGAATGGTTGCGTATGAGCTGTGCTGCTTCCATGTACAAGCAACAATAATAGCAAGGTGTAGTTTTTTCAAAAAAAAAAAAAAAAACTCAATGTCATTATGGCACCAAAACAAATAAAATATATAAATATAGTTATTAAAATATAATTTTTTTCATTAACTTATTCAAAAGTTTAAGTGGTTATATATTATTTTATAAGTTAAATTTTTCTCATCTTATGAGATCTCAACAAGAGAACTTGAGGAGTTTATAGAACCCACTACAAGTTTCGTTCTGATAATCTGAATTATATATTTTGTAAATCTCCTAATGTATAATATTCATGAAAAAATTTAAATCAATCCGATAATCATAACTTTTTCATTTTATAGCATTTGTCTAAAAAAATATGGATGGTCCATTTCAAAAATATATTTGTCATTTATTTTTTTGAAAACAAATGCAATAAAATGAAAAAATTACGATTATTGAATCGAATTAATTTTTTTCATAGATATTATATATTGAGAGTCTTACAAAATGAACGGTTTAGATCATCAAAATGAGACTCATGTTGGGCCCTATAGGCTGCTCAAGTTGTCTCATGTTGAGGTCTTAACATGATAGAAATCAATTATTATTTTATTATTTATATTATATCCTTACCAAGTTCTTTACATGTGACAAAACTTTGCCAACAAGTGAATTAATAATGTGTAATTATTTTAGTTATCAATAGATGAGATTTAATGGCATAATTTATTGTCTACTTTTGCCAACCAGTGAATTAAATGTGTAATTATTTTAGTTATCAATAGATGGTGAGATTTAAATGCATAATTTATTGTCTACTTTGATATTATGTTAAATTAATAATTACAAAATGTTAATTTAAACATTATTAAATTCACCAGCCTGGTTAACATGTGCCCTTAAGACAAGTTTGGCATGATTAAAAAAATACAAAAAGTCAAAAAGTCACTATCCTATTTAAGTCACATCATCTTATTTAAGTCACATCACCTCTCTAACACATCACTTCAAACCCAACTCAAACCCAATCCATATTTCATAAAAAGTCAAAAAGTACACTTATTTAGTCTTCCCAAACTAGACCTTAGTCTTAAGGGCGCATGATAAAGAAGTTTAAAAGTATTATATATTCTTTATTAGACCCACTTTAATACATAAGATACAAACAGACAAAAACATGTTAATGTTAATAAAACCCTAAACTCATTTCCTAACCAATTAAGTTTTTATAGAAATTAATAATCAACAATTCAACAATAATTACTACCACTTGCATTACCAATGCTATAATAATTATACCCACTCCAAAGAGTGTTCAGCATTGCCTCTTTTTTTGTCTTCTCTTTGTTAAAAATGTCATCCTTAGCTGTTATATGTACACTTTATACATAAATTAACTAAGGTTTATAACTTCATAGATTAGTACCAACACGCAAATTCAATATTTGAGGAACAGAGCTTTTCTTGAAAAAAGATTGAGAGTTCTAATGGGTGAACTTTAGAGAAGCTTGAATGAGTGGAGCTTATTCTGTGATGTGATGTTTTGTGTTAATTTGTCTTTTTTTTTTTTTGAAAAATGCTTTGAAATTTTAATTTTTGAGCTCTAAAGATAGTTTTAATGAGTTGACAGTGAGTTCCATCCACAGTGATGTGATGTTTTGATCTTGGTTTATTTTTATTTTTTATTTTTTGTTCATTGTCATGTCATTAGTACTCTATTAAAGCACCAAAATTAGTGGTCTGAACCATTTTTTTTTTTTTTTTTACTTTGTCACATCACTATAATTCAAATTAGAGCTCTATATAATTTCCTGGTCTTCTTTCTCTGTCGGTCTTTGGTTTTGATCCTCTCCTTTTCATTTTTTAATATTGGGCTATCCACCGGTTTAGAATTTTATGTTTATAAGAGTGAAAAAAAATAAAGATACGTTCTCAAAACAATGATACTGTGTCAAATACTAGTCATCTCCTATTGATATCTTTTGTTGTACTACATATACTGTTTTTATATTAATAAACATTTCTTTAGTGAATAAAAAAAAAAGAGTAAATCCTAAGTCCAGCATTTAATACAAGACCCCAAACAAAACGGTTTTTATTAGTGGGCAGAAAGTAATTGTTTGTTAACGTTATTTTAAAAATTGAAATCTAAAAAAAAAAAAAGAGAAAAAAGAAATGCTTATTAATCATATTTACTAAAAAGTATTTATCTATATATAAAATATATATATAGAAAAAGTAATTTAATCTCAAGTGAACCTTAATTTAATTTTGTAATAAAAAATGTGAGAATAATAAAATTTAAGTAATACTATGGTGTAGTTGGTTAAATATTTCTTTTGAGAAAACGTCTAGATTTTTGTTTGATATTTTTTCTTGAGTAAACCGTTAAAATATAAAACTATAAAACTAGATTTTATCATTTTTAAACTTTTGCACAATATTTTTTTAAAATTTATTTTATTTTTTTGAGTGACATATAAAAATGTAAATGTCTTAATATTAAGTAGAAATGATTAAGGGGTTCGCTTGTAACCTCATATCAAGGATTTCTTAGAGTACCTGAAAGCTCAAGCAGGTTCGTAACTGTAACTTCACTGTTTCTTAATAATTATTGAAAAAATTACAGAAAAATAAAAAATTATAAAGTCATAAAAAAATTTATCATTTCAATTATTAAAATTGGTAAACTTTACCACTAATTTGAAATTTATTTTAAAAACATACACGGAATTACGATTTTTCCATAATTATTTTACACATTAATTGATCGACACGCCACCAACTCATATCATTTCAACTATACCTCTATATATATATAAAAATAAGGTTCATCTTCGTTATCATTTGTCACACAATAGAGAGATGGGGAAGCAACTTTGCGCAATTCTGATTCTTTGTTCAATGGTGATATCCATAACCGCGGTTCACGGCATAACCGAAGATCCGATATCGGTCGAAAAGTGGTTCGACAACCTAACCAATTCAAAACAAAAGGTAACAAAGCTTGAATTCTACTTCCAGGACATGCGAGGTGGGAAGAACCCAACTTCCATTCAGGTGGCTGGAGCCAACACCACCAATACCTCACCCACTCTCTTCGGGGGAATCAACATGGTCGATAATCCATTGACAGTAGGGCCTGAGCTCAGTTCCAAGCAGTTGGGCCGAGCTCAGGGAATCTACGGTGCATCTTCAATGGAGGAAATGTGTCTTCTTACATTGGTGAACTTGGCCTTCACGGATGGAAAGTACAATGGAAGCACTCTGGCTCTTCTCGGCCGCAACCCAATACTTGAGGAGTACCGTGAGATGTCCATCGTCGGTGGTTCGGGTTTGTTTCGACTTGCACGAGGAATTGCCACTGCCAAGACTTATTCCATCAATGCTACCTCAGGTTATGGTGTTGTACACTACCATGTTATGGCTATTCATTATTAATAAGGTTGTCTTTGAAGGGTTTCGTTGTTTTTATTTTGAAATGTGCTTCTTGCAAATAATTTTAATGTCTTTTTCACAGAGAGAGAGAGAGAGAGAGACAGGGATGTTCCCACACATGTGGTTCTCTCAACCCTTATGTGTCTTCTATATGTTATGTTTCCTTGAAAATTCATTCTGGTCTAGCCTTTGTTTGGATATAAAATAAAAAATAAATCAAATCAAATCAAATTAAGAGGTTATTTGGGATGTCCTAAATAAGTGTATTTTTTTATTTTTTGAATTAAAAAGTTGAGGGAAAAAAAATGGTTGTTTGAGATAATTTTTAACTTTTTATGAAAAAATGTATATTAAAAAATTGTATAAATTAGTGTATAGAAGAAGATTGAGATCAAATCGGCTGGTGGGATTAATTAAGGGACAGCATGTGCGTGGAGTATTGCCGCGGGGGTGGGGGGGATGGGAGATGCTTCCCTACTTTTCAAGTAGTGAATTGTAGGTGCTGTTCGGTCCGTAGGGGCTTACCACGGGTCCCGTTTTGCTAATCAAAACCATTCAATGTGTAGAACTCATCGAGTGCTATACGTTTGTCAAAAATCACGTTGATCGGATATTGATAGCTATCTGATTGGATTAGTTTTTTTTTCAACCGTTAACTATAACACCATCCATTTTATAAATTTTAACTTATTTGATCATATAGTTATCGATATCCGATCAGCATGATTGTATATAAAAATATAGTACTCTATGAGTTCTACATATTGCACGGTTCAGATTATTAAAACGGGACTCGTAATGGGCCTCCACAGGCCAAACAACATAGTGTTATTTGTGCACCTAAATCAGTGCAATTTTTCAAAAAAGTCAGCTGCGCTTGTGGGACGTCAGAGTTGTTTGAAAATTAATTGTATAAAATTAATTTTTTTTAATATATTTTTTAGTGAATAGTGATAATTTTTTTATTTTTTGAATAATTTTTTAACTTTTTGACTTTTTTTCATCATCCCAAACCAGGCTTAAGTCAAGTCTTAAGTCTTATAAAATAGGATCGGCTGAATAAAAAATAAAAAGCATGTTATTTAACATTTTTTTCTATAGTAGAACATTATGTTGTAATTATATATATATATATACATATATATAAATTATTGCCATATTTCCTCTCCTCCTGGATGATATAATCAACAAAATGTCCATCATCTAAAACACTCAGAAAAATTATTATTATATTTTTTTTACAAATTATTTATAAATGACAATTATGTAAGATATGGCCCATATTTTAGTAATTTTAAATCTAAATTATACAACTTATTTTTAAGGATAAAATTCGAAATAAATTTTCATGGTGAATAACGTATTTCTATTTTCCAAGATCTAAAGCAGTGAAGAAGGAGGTGGTTGACTGGCTCATCAGTTTCTATTCTCCTGGCCGTCCTCACTGTCCCTTTGGGATGATTCACGTAGTCATGGAATCTTGGTGGTCCATTTGAGATGTGAATATTGATTGATCATGGTAAAAGTCACGCTAAATTTGCATTTAAAAAAGAAAAAAGAAAAAAAAAAGATGATAATTATATTTTAAAAATAAATAATTTATTTTTTTGTGATAAATATGATAAATTGAATAGATTATAATTACTAGATAGATTTACTTTTTTTTTAAAAAAAGAAAATAATTGTATTTTTAAAAATAATTTTTTTTTTGTAATAAACGCGATAAATTGAATAAATTATTATTATTAGATCAATTTATTTATTTTTTGTGAATGAAATATATGAAATATCTAACAAAATAAATAATTCGAATTATTAAAATAAAATGTGTACCTAAAGAGCGATCTCCAATTTAAAATGTTTGCAGCCGAAATAATCATCCTCTTTTAATTTTTAGTGATTTGGCAGGACATTATTGAGTGTGCTTGGTTTCAATTTTTTGAATTTAATTTTCTAAAAATTGAGTTTTTTTTTTTCTTATTTTACTGAATATTTTTAAAATTTTAAGCAAGTTTTTTACTTTTTAGATACACCTTGCTTAGATGTATCTAAAAAGTAAAAAATTTTCATTTATGTTTGATAGGTTACATTAAATTTCTATAAATTGTAATGTTACTTTCAGTTGTAATTAAAGGTTAAGAAAAAACAGAGACAAAAAGAAGTTCTCTGCTATTAAACGCCCAGTCAAATAGTTATAATAATGTATTTGGAAGCAACCCAGTGTTTCTTCTTCTGCTTCTGTTAAACAATTGTAAGTTATTTTGATTAAAAGTATTTCAATTTTGTGTATTCAAATATTTTGAAAATTATTATCAAAAAGTGAATACAATCACAAAATATAAATGGAAAATTTCAATACTATATTCAATCATAAAATCATAACATTTGCGTGTTATTCAGGATTGTTGAGCAGAATCATATTTAGCACAATAAGCATGCCTTTTAGTTCTATTTTCTTTAGATCGAAAGTCAATAAGAAGTTTATCAAGGTCAGGAGTAAAGGGTTTACTAATTGTCATTAGTTGAGGATTGATTGGAGGTATAACTTCGAAATCAATTTGAGTTGGGGAATTATTTGATTCAGTTTATTCTTCAGGTAAATGTGTATGAGTAGAATAAACAGGTTTACTAATTTGAGATGTAGTAGAGTTATCAAGATGGATTTGACTATTTTTACGAAATAAAGGGGTGTTAAATATCTCATCTTCAGATTCAATTTCAGTGGGTACACTAGATGTACTATGTCTAGAAGATTGACTACGATTAAATTTAATCCTAACTGATCCATCCGTAAATTGTTGAATATCCTGGATATTTTGACTATTAGATTCTTGTTGATTATGTTTATAATTTTCATTAACAGTAACTCATTGATCAGGGAGAGTAATATTTTTCCATTCAATCATTTGAGGAATGTTGATATTAGTATCATTGTTACTACTTTGAATTAACAGAGTTTTATCTTTGGGACTTTTATGTAAAACTTGAACATTCAAATTTTTGTTTTAATACATTTATAATAAACACGATAAATTAAAGCAATATTATGAGCTTTCTCTTTCATGTTAGTAAATGACCCATGCAGTTGAATATTTAATGTTAAAGCATCTAAGATGTGAGGATCTCTAAGACTTAAAGTAAAATCAGGAAAACAATTAAAATGAATTGGTCTGTTGTGGAGACCAATTTCAACCATTTCCATTAAACTATTATTATAATTAATAAAGCGAGCATCTCTTAAACATAATAAAATAGACGTGTTTTTTCCTTGAGGGGTTAATGGTTTTATTCCAACTTGAATTAATCCTAAATGAATAAAATTGTGACCAGATTTTAAATGTCTTTTAATTGTATTAGCATCAAATAATCAACAAGTTTCACGAGGCTTTTCTAAAGCATAAACTTGTTCTAAAGTTTTAACATGGAGATTAATTTTCTTACCCGGGAATTTTTACAGGGGGGCTAGGGATGGCCACTCCTTTTACCTCTTACCATAAAACCCAGATAACCCACTACCTTAAACAACTTGCCTACCGCATTGCCCGACTAAAATTAGCCAAACCAACTACTAAACGTGCTCAGTATATTAACTACCACCAGATTCAAGCGCGTCGCCATTTACTTGCTGATTACTACAAACTGTTTGGATTACCATCAAGCTTACTTAGATTTGCTTAGTGGTTGTTAATCCTTATTGCTAACCTTTGTTTCTATTAAACAGGTGTCTCGTCCCAAGCCTCCTCCAAGAGCCTTTGTCCCATCTAGTCAACCTTTTGTTCCTCCTCTTTTGGAGCTAGTGACCCAATATCATCCTATTGAAATGATAAACCGTTATCAAGTTCTTGGTAACATTCCTAAACCTAGCTACACATCTGCTTTGGCTACTGATCCTTTTGCTTCATCCAGCCAAGCAGTCACTCCATATCCTCCTAATCCTATTAAACAAGCCCGTTCTAATTATTTTAAATCCACCACTACTAATCTGTTCTTTAAAGAACTTAGTCACTCTAAGAGTTTATTGATTAATGATTTGGCTAAATCTTATTTTCCTCCTGGATGGCATTTTGTTCCCATGCATCCAGCAAAAACAATTACCTTCCATAAAGACATCCTATTCAACCACCAGTCCATTGTGATTAAACCTATTTATGATCGTACTTACACTAGTAAAGTTGTTTACCATTCACTCTACATTCATAACATTGTTTCCTTAGCTGAATGGGGTTCTCCTTATCAACGTCGAGATTTACCTAATCACTTTCTTCAATATAGTTATTATGACTATATTGATGCCTGGTTCAAAATATTCCTCTACCAAAAGGATACATTTAGTCACTCCTGGTTCATCCAATTTGATCAAAAGTTTAAATTTGAATTTCCTTCATGGTTTCTGAGATGGTGGACTCATTACGGCGCCATTTCAGATATGTTTCCAGCCATTGTACTGGAACAGGTTAACTATTTTCCATCTGTTTTCTCATTCTCAACTCAACAGAAGAAATTTCCCAAATTGCTCATTTTTATATCCAAATACAAAGTCCCTTGGATATTTAAATGGCACTATGGCATTTCTGATGATGTTGTTCAAAGGATACACATGGTTAAATGGTGGGATAATTACAAGATCTCCTGTATTGTTGAAATTGTTCAATCTGAGTTCCCGATTAATGTTCATGCTCCTACACTTGCCATGGTTAAAGCTCAGCAGAACCCAACTGCTTCATTAACTCAAGGAAGCCAACTTCCTACAGTCAATCTTGGAAGCCCCTCATCTAGTGGCTCCAAGCCTAAGTCAAAGAATAATTCAAAGGATAAAGCCCAGCCCACAATTGATAAATCCAAGTCCAAGGCTAAATCCAAGGTTCCTGCAGTACCTGCTCAGCCCAAGGATAAATCCAAGTCAGCTCTGTCAAAGCCTAAGGTTAAACCCAGTTCAACCAGTGATGATCTGTTAAAAATGGCCCGTCTCCTGATAGATCAGGCCCAGGCCCAATTAAAAGATGAACTGCCTGATGATGAACATCCTGTACCGACCCAACAGTCCAGTTCAGAAGAAGCTTCAGATAGTTCAAACTCTTCTGAAGGTTCAACTACTCAAAACCCATATGGACCTGAGTTTCAAGATGTTCAAGATCCATATGCCTAGTCAACTTGGTTAACATTGGATTCCATATAAGTACAAATTTGCTTCAATCAATACTCTTTTGAGAAAAGCTGCCAATTTGTATTTATATTGATTC